GATATTCTGTGGGAGTATCCTTCTCGTACAGCAGTGCATGGTGGGAGAAATGTCTTGCATGTTCAGTTCCCCATGTAGTCCCCTACTGTATAACCCCTGTAGAAGGACTAAGGAAACCCCTTGCATGGGGAACCACATAAATACTGGAGCATGCAAATAAAATAGTCAGTTGACTCCCAGAACTGTGTTTCGTCCGGTTACTGGGGGATTTGGGATATTGCCTTCTTTTCAGCGCTTTTCTTGGATTACTTTCTTTTACCCGCGGAGATATTGGGATTTAATATTGCAGCTCCGCTACAACATCCATAATGCTGACCCAGGTATAACCTACTACCCTAATGCTGACCCAGGTGTACCCCACTAACTTAATGCTGACCCAGGTATACCCTAATGCTGACACAGGTATACCTCACTATCCTTATGATGACCCAGGTATAACCCACTACACTAATGCTGAATAATAATTCTGAACCAGGTATACCCCATCACAGTAAAGCAGACCCAGGTATATCCCACTGCCCGAATGCTGACCCATGTATATCCCACTGCCCGAATGCTGACCCAGGTATATCCCACTGCCCGAATGCTGACCCAGGTATATCCCACTGCCCTAATGTTGACCCAGGTACACATTACCTCCATAATGCTGACCCAGGTATACCCCACTGCCCTTATGCTGACCCAGGTATACCCCACTACCCTAATGCTGACCCAGGTATACCCACTACCTTAATGCTGACCCATCTACACACCACCTCCCTAATACTGACCCAGGTATACCCTAATGCTTACCCATGTATACCCCACTGCCTTAATGCTGACCCAGGTATACTCCACTACCTTAATGGTGTCCCAGGTATACTCGACTCTCTTAATGCTAACCCAGGTACACACACCTCAATAATGCTGACCCAGGTATACTCCACTAACCTAATGCTGACCCAGGTGTACCCTAATGCTGACACAGGTATACGTCACTATCCTTTTGCTGACCCAGGTATACCCGAATGCTGACCCAGGTATAGTCCACTACCTTAATGCTAACTCAGGTACACACCACCTCCCTTATGCTGACCCAGGTATACTCTAATGCAGGGGTCCTCAAACTCCGGCCCCCCAGATGTTGCTGAACTACAACTCCCATGACTCTCTGGCTATCTATGTTATTCAAAGAATCATGGGAGTTGTAATTCAGCAACATCTGGGGGGCCGGAGTTTGAGGACCCCTGCTCTAATGCTTAACCAGGTATACTCCACTACCCTAATGGTGTCCCAGGTATACCCGAATGCTTACCCAGGTATAACTCACTACCCTAATTGTGTCCCAGGTATATCCTAATGCTTAACCAGGTATACCCTAATGCTTAACCAGGTATACCCCACTACCCTAATGCAGACCCTGGTATACCCCACTACCCCGAAGCAGACCCAGGTATACCCCACCTTCAGAATGCTGACCCAGGTACAAACTAAAACTGACCAGGTATACCCCATTGCCCTAATGCTGAATAATAATTCTGAACCAGGTATACCCCACCTCTCTAAAGCAGACCCAGGTATACCCCACTACCCTAAAGCAGACCCAGGTATACTCCACCTCCCTAAAGCAGACCCAGGTATACTCCACCTCCCTAAAGCAGACCCAGGTATACTCTAATTCTTACCCAGGTATACTCCACTACCCTAATGGTGTCCCAGGTATACCCTAATGCTTACCCAGGTATAACCCACTACCCTAATGGTGTCCCAGGTATACATTAATGCTTAACCAGGTATACCCCACTACCCTAATGCAGACCCTGGTATACTCCACCTTCAGAATGCTGACCCAGGTACAAACTAATACTGACCAGGTATACCCCATTGCCCTAATGCTGAATAATAATTCTGAACCAGGTATACCCCACTTCCCTAATGCAGACCCAGGTATACCCCACTACCCTAATGCACACCCAGGTATACCCCACTACCCTAATGCACACCCAGGTATACCCCACCTCCCTAATGCAGAGCCAGGTATACCCCACCTCCCTAATGCAGACCCAGGTATACCCCACTACCCTAATGCAAACCCAGGTATACCCCACTACCATAATGCAGACCCAGGTATACCCCACCTCCCTAATGCAGACCCAGGTATACCCCACCTCCCTAATGCAGAGCCAGGTATACCCCACCTCCCTAATGCAGACCCAGGTATACCCCACTACCATAATGCAGACCCAGGTATACCCCACCTCCCTAAAGCAGACCCAGGTATACCCCACCTCCCTAATGCAGACCCAGGTATACCCCACCTCCCTAAAGCAGACCCAGGTACAAACTAATGCTGACCAGATTAACCCCATTGAACAAAAGATGACACAGGAGACACCCACTCCCCTAATAATGGCCACATGCACCCAGCACTATCTGTCAGTAATACTGATAATCACACTACATCCTACCAACCACAACAACAACAACAACATCATCATCAACATAAAGGCATCTCACCCCTTCATAAGGCGGTACACAGGATTCCAGATACTGTCAATCACTGCCTAGCAGCTTGTGGGAGGAGCTAACTCCGGTGTAATATTTAAAGAGCTCTCTGCCCTCATCAAACATGGCCGCCGCGACTGTGACGTCACTGCTCGGCGCCCTGTTGATATACCACCCCCTGTATATACTGTGTATATAATGTATGGGGGGGGGGGTAAATATACACCCCCTGTATATACTGTGTATATAATGTATGGGGGGGTAAATATACACCCCCTGTATATACTGTGTATATAATGTATGGGGTAAATATACACCCCCTGTATATACTGTGTATATAATGTATGGGGGTAAATATACACCCCCTGTATATACTGTGTGTATAATGTATGGGGTAAATATACACCCCCTGTATATACTGTGTATATAATGTATGGGGGTAAATATACACCCCCTGTATATACTGTGTATATAATGTATGGGGTAAATATACACCCCCCTGTATATACTGTGTATATAATGTATGGGGTAAATATACACCCCCTGTATATACTGTGTATATAATGTATGGGGTAAATATACACCCCCTGTATATACTGTGTATATAATGTATGGGGTAAATATACACCCCCTGTATATACTGTGTATATAATGTATGGGGTAAATATACACCCCCTGTATATACTGTGTATATAATGTATGGGGTAAATATACACCCCCTGTATATACTGTGTATATAATGTATGGGGTAAATATACACCCCCTGTATATACTGTGTATATAATGTATGGGGTAAATATACACCCCCTGTATATACTGTGTTTATAATGTATGGGGGTAAATATACACCCCCTGTATATACTGTGTATATAATGTATGGGGGTAAATATACACCCCCTGTATATACTGTGTATATAATGTATGGGGTAAATATACACCCCCTGTATATACTGTGTATATAATGTATGGGGTAAATATACACCCCCTGTATATACTGTGTATATAATGTATGGGGGTAAATATACACCCCCTGTATATACTGTGTATATAATGTATGGGGTAAATATACACCCCCTGTATATACTGTGTATATAATGTATGGGGTAAATATACACCCCCTGTATATACTGTGTATATAATGTATGGGGTAAATATACACCCCCTGTATATACTGTGTATATAATGTATGGGGTAAATATACACCCCCTGTATATACTGTGTATATAATGTATGGGGTAAATATACACCCCCTGTATATACTGTGTATATAATGTATGGGGTAAATATACACCCCCTGTATATACTGTGTATATAATGTATGGGGTAAATATACAGCCCCCTGAATGTACTGTGTATATCATGTATGGGGTAAATATACACCCCCTGTATATACTGTGTATATCATGCATGGGGTAAATATACACCCCCTGTATATACTGTGTATATAATGTATGGGTGTAAATATACACCCCCTGTATATACTGTGTATATAATGTATGGGGGGTAAATATACACCCCCTGTATATACTGTGTATATAATGTATGGGGTAAATATACACCCCCTGTATATACTGTGTATATAATGTATGGGGTAAATATACACCCCCTGTATATACTGTGTATATAATGTATGGGGTAAATATACACCCCCTGTATATACTGTGTATATAATGTATGGGGGTAAATATACACCCCCTGTATGTACTGTGTATATAATGTATGGGGCAAATATACACCCCCTGTATGTACTGTGTATATAATGTATGGGGCAAATATACACCCCCTGTATGTACTGTGTATATAATGTATGGGGCAAATATACACCCCCTGTATGTACTGTGTATATAATGTATGGGGTAAATATACACCCCCTGTATATACTGTGTATATAATGTATGGGGTAAATATACACCCCCTGTATATACTGTGTGTGTAATGTATGGGGTAAATATACACCCCCTGTATATACTGTGTATATAATGTATGGGGTAAATATACACCCCCTGTATATACTGTGTATATAATGTATGGGGGTAAATATACACCCCCTGTATATACTGTGTATATAATGTATGGGGTAAATATACACCCCCTGTATATACTGTGTATATAATGTATGGGGTAAAGATACAGTCCCTGTGTATATAGTGTGTGTAGCTGAGCTCCGATACCACGACTAGGTATCCCCGCTGTTCTTTCCTCGATGCTGTAAGAAGCGCAGTAATGCTCCACCTGTTCAATAGTTCCTTTCCCTCGAATGCCGTTCTCCTAACTGGTCGGGAAGTTGAACGGGCAGCGGTACAAGTTTCCTGGGTGTTCGCAGGGTCACGTAGCCGACATACAGTTCCATACACTCGACGACCATGTGCTGCTACCTGTGTTCGGGAGACAAAATGGCCACACAGGCAAAGCACTTGAGCTAATTGCTCATTTTTGGTTAACAGCCAGGGATGGTCGTGTTTATGGGTTTGTAACAAGGGGACCGCATAGAGTTTGTTCGGGAATTGAACAGATGGTGTACGGCCAGCCGAACAAAGGGAATTAGGTCGGTTAAAGCAAATCCATTCCGCTACAGCAATAAATGATCCATGTGAACATGTTGAAGCCCTACCAAGAGCAGAGGGGGTGGTGGCGATCTGCGCCCCTGCCTCTGAGGCATTCCTCTACAAAACCTCCTAGGGTACAAGAGTCAGACAGGTGAGTTAGACAAGGTCAAGTTGGGAGAGCGGCTGAGCCCTCAGGAGCGTACCCAGGTACTACAGTTGCTAG